GTCTGTTTGGGGAAGAAATAAAATGCGATCAGAATTACAGCAAAAAGCATTTTTCAAAGGTCTATGTGCTATGGCAAATAGTTTGGATTTTATCATAGTCAATGGGATCAGTGAAGAATTTTTAAGAGTGAAGAAACTCAAGTTGATTTACATTTTACCAAGATAGTGTGATCTTTACAGCTGTATTTTGTTTACCTTTGACCTCCAGTTGGTGCTTAAGTGGGAGATGAATTATGACTATGATAGCAGCGGGAAATAAGAATTTGAGACCAATTTTAATAATTCAAATCAATGGGAAGTTGACTGTATTTGGGAGGATGAATGAGAAAGAGGACTCTACTGAAAATATAGGAATTGAACAAATCGGGGTAAGTGATTTGTATTAGTGTACATATATTTGTTCATCCAGCATGTATGGAATATATTCTCATCTAAACACAGTGGTGTTAGAAAATTCACTCCAAAAAGGTGGATCTCCAAGGAAAGGATATAATGACTGTCAGCTGCTGAAAATAAAAAGCCTTGCTTCTATTGAAGTTTTTTTTTCAGATTTATTGTACATAGAAACACGTACATAATGTACATGGAGCAACTTGCTAGATATCAATGAGGTGAAATGTAAATACAGAAACATGTTGTATATATATATATACCAGAGTACCTCAAAGTGGGACGAGGATCATTAAGGGCTAAGAACTGCAGGAGAGGGTTATTCTGATTTCCTTATATCTTTAAGAGACAGGGCAGGTGAAGAGGGAAGAGAGTAGAGATAGGCATACCACTGGGAAAAGAACATAAACAAAAGGACCAGAGATGGGAATGAGAAGAATTTAGATGGAGACCTGTCCATAGAAAGTCTTGAAATCTAAATTTAATTCAGCAAGTGCTGAGGAAGTAATTTTAGATTTTTAAATAGAAGACTGTCCTATAAGGTACATGTGTGTGTATGTGTGTGTGCATATTTTATCAACTACTTTCTTTGGAATAGATGTAAATTTACAGAAAAGTGGTAAAGATAGTTCAGAGAGTTCATGTATATCACATTTCCATATACTCCAAATGCACTTTCCCCTATTGTTAATATCCTATATTACTATAGTTCATCTCTCACAATTAATGAAACAAAAATTGATACATTTGTAAGTAAAGTTCATAGTTTATTAGAATTTCCTTTGCTTTTAATGTCCTTTTTTCATATCAGAATATCACATTATTTTTAGTCAACTTGTTTTATTTTGAAAAGATGAACCTGGGTATATGTAGAATAGATTAGAGAAGAGTAAATCTGAATTCAGATTAGGAGATCGAGGTCCATAAAAAAATAGCACATCAATTCATAATGCTTTGTCTGCAAATCTGAACTCTGAAAAGCTATGAAAAACAAATTCATTTGTGGCCAGATTTAATTTGACTTGCACTTAAAGTGGTTCTTCTTTCATTTAATTGAAAAAATATATTAATATGGTTAATGGAGTACTATCCCAGACTCCTCTGAGGCAGTTTAGAATATACCTTGCTAAAATTTGAATAATTCAGAATTTTAAATACATTTGCTTCAAGGGTTTCAGAAAAGGAAATGTGACCTGAGGCATATGAGGCCCTTCATTTGAGTTGTATTAATGGGGGCACACAGGAAAAAGGAAAGTATCAGTAATAGTTTAGACAGCAAAATGTCAGCAAGATAAAGATTGTGCGGTGATTTTAATAATCTCACACTATGGTGCAGAGAAGAGCACATACATTTGTAAATAAGAAAATTTGGTTGTGATGCTCTTAGAAAATATTTTTTTCACCATAGGGAGCTTCATACATGCAGCTAATTTGGAAGAAAGCTAGAAAGAGGTCTAAATTCAGAACTCCTTATAAAAATGTGCCTCTTAACAAATTCCTATATTCTTCATTTATATTTAGCTTTTAAAAAATGGAACAAAAACTGAAATTATATTCAGAAAATGTATGTGGATTTAGTTCATCTATAATTTTAATCCTAAACTTCTCAATTTAGAGACTTTAAAACAAGTTAGGATGCCTTTTTAAAAAATAAGGTTATGTAGTTCTACATATTAATGGAATAAGTCTTTTAATTAAAAAAAAAGGATGATGTCCTGATTGGTTAAAATTAAGAATTACAATAAAAATGAAATACGTAAGAATTTTCAAAGAACATCACTCATTTTTCTTTAAAAGCTAAGCCTCTCATTATATGACCTTGTTCTCCTGGTGTTTTAAACTAGACAATTGTATAAGCATTACTTCTGTTAGAACTAATAGTAGCAGTTTGTTTATGTCATTGAAATATCTGCTGTTTCTTTTATTTGTATGTTAAATTTGACTCTGGGCCTTCTGTGGAAGCAGTGAGAACCTGTGTTATTTTTGGACACTCCTTCCTTAATATTTGTAATATTCTTTTTTTTTTTTTGCTTCAAAGTGACCTTAACTTCGATATAATGGATTATCACTGTTTTAAACTTGTTTTTCTTTGCAAACTAATAGAGCTGTTGTGAATTCTTAAGTAATGTCTTTTTCAGAATATTTGCAAATGTGGTTATGGAAAGTAATCTCAACCTAGTCCCTTGTATTTCATGTGCTGAAGAAAGGCTTAGCCTGCTTTTGATTGAAACGTTCCCATTTTATTGAGCAGTGTGTTCCAGGCTCAAGCTGAATTGCATGGCATAAGAAAGGAACAGTGAGCATTTGATGCAAGCACGTAATAAAATGCATCAATTGTCTCAGCACCTCGTCTCAGTCACATCTGGCTTACTCTCAGGGTCCCGTTAGATTCCTGTGGTTTTATGTGCCAAAAATAATATGCTCTGTAGTTAATGGAAACAGGATATTTGCAGTTTGATTAAAAAGAATCATCTTATTTTCTTTCTTTCTTTCTTTCTTTTTTTTTTTTTTTGAGGCGGAGTTTTGCTCTTGTTACCCAGGCTGGAGTGCAATGGCTCAATCTCGGCTCACCGCAACCTCCGCCTCCTGGGTTCAGGCAATTCTCCTGCCTCAGCTTCCGGAGTAGCTGGGATTACAGGCACGCGCCACCGGGCCCAGCTAAATTTTTGTATTTTTAGTAGAGACGGGGTTTCACCATGTTGACCAGGATGGTCTCGATCTCTTGAGCTCGTGATCCACCCGCCTCGGCCTCCCAAAGTGCTGGGATTACAGGTGTGAGCCACCGCGCCCGGCCTGAATCATCTTATTTTCTTTCAGATCTTTGTCAGGCTTAAGTTCCATCTCTGAGCTGCCATGTCTCTTTAAAATTTTACGACTGAGGCCGGGCGCAGTGGCTCAAGCTTGTAATCCCAGCACTTGGGAGGCCGAGGTGGGTGGATCACGAGGTCAACAGATCGAGACCATCCTGGTCAACATGGTGAAACCCCGTCTCTACTAAAAATACAAAAAAGTAGCTGGGCATGGTGGCGCGTGCCTGTAATCCCAGCTACTCGGGAGGCTTGCCTGAACCCAGGAGGCGGAGGTTGCGGTGAGCCGAGATTGCGCCATTGCACTCCAGCCTGGGTAAAAAGAGCAAAACTCCGTCTCAAAAAAAAAAAAAATTTTTTTACGACTGAAAGATTAATTGTTCTTTTGATCTGTTTCTTTCTTTTTCGTTATTACAGTGATTCCAGCAGTCTCAGCAGCACTGATGCTGGATTGTTTACCAATGATGAGGGAAGACAAGGTAATGAAATGATATTTTTCTTCTCTCTTTGGAAAAACTTCTTCATTCTAAAGTTGTGTTTATTACTGGTTATTTTATGAGTTGATGACTGCAATCCGTTTACCTTACACCCATTACTCAGTGGACTAGAATTTAGTATTGCAGCTGGTTTTCCATATGCTGTGGAAGGTGTCCTGTCTTCATGACCTAAAGTATTGATTATCTCCAAAAGCTAGTGTGTGGAGCTAATAATATTAAGGGAGGGTTATCTTGGTTGAGAAAGCTTTACGTACCTTTTTGCTTTTCTCTCATTTAGCAAGTTTGAAAGAAACTGGTTCTCATTCTCTACCTAATTCCAAATGTACTTAAAACTGTTTAAGCATTCATAAAGGTGGATTTGCAAGTCATTTGTCATTTTTATTCAGCTGTGACATTTATTCATTCTATCCAGTTTGTAAGTAATTAGATGATTTTTATGAATTCAATAATGTATGCTGTTAAACAGAAATGTCTTACATCGTATATGTTTTCCATCTTTGAAACTTCTGGAAGCTTCAGTGTTTAACATGGCAGTATTTTGAAGCTATGAAAAATAAGAAAACCTTCATAAGGGGACAGGATTAATCCTTAATAGGATTGATTTCATTTAGTCGCATCTGCTCTGGATTGTTTCCCCTTTTATACTCCATACAAATCATGCAATTAATACATACAAATACCTATCACAATGTTCTCTTCCTTAAGAACACATTGGAGGAAGACAGTAAGTTACAAGTGAAAAAAACTAATATAAATTTTAAATTATAAATTTATTTAGTGGTGTTATAAAAAAGGACAAAGTAATTGCTGCCTGCACTTTTTTCCTTAGTCTGCTCATCCTCTTGGCAGCACAGTAAATGTAAATGAAGTGATCATTCTTTTTTGCCTATTTGTGAACTATTTGTCCTAGAAAAATAGGTACATAACTATTTGAAAGATCATAGACTTTAATTTAAAGTCAAGACTTTGATGAAATACGTTAAAATGCTCGGGCTAAATGGGAAGGTGAACTACCTTGATAATGTACTTAAATTCTCATTAAAATACAGGTCTTTACTCAAGATTGTATTATAAATGTTGATATTGGTAATGAAATGAAATGAAGAAAGTAAAAAAACAACCTTGACAAGGCTGTCAATCTTGGATAAGTATGGAAGGGCTTAGAATGCTATGCTAGCATGTATTGTAAACTTACTATATTTCACATTGCTAAGCGCCTTTCTTGCCTTTAAGTTCTTAATTAATTCTTAAAAATCCCTTTGAGATTCCCACTTTTTTTAAAATGAAGATACTGACACTAATAGAGTTGAAGTAACTTTACTGATACTAGAGAACACAGGAATTCTAATTGGTCTGTCTGACTTCACAGGAAGTTCTTATTCAGTGACTATTTGGTTTCCCTATTGAAGAATAAAGTTGTGTATCACATCAAAAATAATAATTTTATCTTTCTATAATAATGTTGGAATTCAGATATATGGTAATCAGTTTCAAGTGAGTACTGGTTTTTTCTCATTCTGAAACCTGATCTGTATACTTTTAATATAAAGCTCAGTTAAAAGTCCTGATCTCTAAGTGCTGTTAATTGTGTTTTTGAAAAATTATTTTTAAATTAATTTCCCAGTAGAAACAAGCTCTAGTGACTCTAGTTTTTGAAATGCCTTTAATTTTCCATTCCGTCTTAGTTGAAATGTACCTGTTTCTCATAAAATTATTTTCAACTGAAGCTTAAGAGTATTTTCAGTTTTCCTTTAAATATGATTGTTGTAAGGTATTTTAGAAATCAGAAATATCTTTCTCTAAACTAAAGAAGTTTATGACAATTGTGATGACTCTCTTAGAAACCAGAATTAGTGGTGGCTTTTTATAATCAAGGGGAGGATACTTTAATGAATCTCAGATCATCTTCAAAATGCTATTTGTTTCTTTTTGTTTTTCTTTTCTTTTCTCTTTTTTGTTTTTAAGACAAGGTCTCACCCTGTCATTCAGGCTGGAGTGCCGTGGTGCGATCATAGCTCACTGTAACCTCGAACTGCTAGTCTCAAGGGGTCTTCCTGCCTCAGACTCCCGTAGCTAGGACTACAGGTGCACGTCACCATGCCCGGCTAATTTCTAATCTTTTTGTAGAAACAGGGTCTCACTATCTTACCCAGGTTCATCTGGAACTCCTGATTTCAAGTGATCCTCCCACTTTGGCCTCTCAAAGCAGTGGGATTATACCCATGAGCCATCATGCCTGGCCTGTCTCTCTTTCTTTTAAAAGCCACCTGTCTTTTGTATTTTGGTCTCTTTATACAGCTCTTCATAACTACTTTTTCTTCAAAAAAAAAAATACTGATTCTCACTGGTGACACATTTCAAACTGAATTTTCAATTGATCATTTATTGTTCCATGGTTACACTCATGTATGTTCCAAAAAGTCAGAATGACTGGATAGTGCCGGGCAAAAATATCTCACTTATTCAATTTAGTTTTTTCATAAACTCTAAGGTATTGTCACTTTTCATTTAAAATCAACTTTTTCAAAACTATTTCTTAATGAGCTTAATTGGATTAATTTCATTTACTCACATCTGTTCATCACTGTTTCCCCTTTTACACGCCATACAAATCATGAAATGAAGCTAATTATGTACCCATATCGGCTGCAAAGAAAGGGTTCCACAGTTTTAATACTTTTTAATTCCCGGGAGCAGATTAAGGTTTGTTTTTTCTTAATGTGGAAGGGGTAGTAACTGAAGTGGATTTTCCAATAGATTTTGCCAAAGGATTAACCAGTTAATTAATGTTTCTCATGTTTTAAAATTGGTTCTAAAACATAATACTTTGAGTTTGGTTGATGGAGTTCTTACAGTCTTAAGAGAACATTTCTTAAGTGAAGCTGTGTTATAAAATAAAAAGTTTTTCTTATAGATTATATATGCAATTGTCAAAACATAGGATCCCCAATTTAAATTTTAGGTAAATAACACACAATTTTTTAGAACTCATATTTCCCATATAGTACTTAGACATACTTACACTAAAAATTTAGTGCAAATACTATATATTTATAGTAAAAGTTAGTCATTGATCTTAATTTCAAATTTAACTGCCATCTTGTATTTTTTACTACCTAACAGCACTAATTGTGCAACTTGATGATAAAACTGAATCTTTGGTGGTGGGGGTTTCTTGTATTTGCACAGGTGATGATGAACAGAGTGACTGGTTCTACAAAAAGGAATCAGGTGGAGCATGTGGTATCACTGGAGTTGTGCCCTGGTGGGAAAAGGAAGATCCTACTGAACTAGACAAAAATTTACCAGATCCTGTCTTTGAAAGTATCTTAACTGGTTCTTTTCCCCTTATATCGCATTCAAGCAGAAGAGGTCAGTAGCTCTGGCTCCTGAGTAGATACAATGGGTTTAAGGTCAATCTAGGAATATTCATTTAAAGAGGATAAGATAGAGTGGAAATTAGAGAATGTAAACACAAGACGCTGGAAAGAAATATATTGGCCGCTAATACAGCTACTACATTTATCATGCTTCCAAATTAGTAGAAAAATTGACTTGCTTTCTTGCTAGGCTCATGGAGAAAATGTTGAAATGATAGGAATGTGAATTGGAACAAAAGAAAGGTCCTGGATATTTATTACTCTAGTGTTCAAACACTGGATAGTTAAATGCTGACTGCATTAGTACTTTGCAAGGCATTGCTTCAATTTTTTTTAAGTGTGAGTTTTGCATTTTCCCCAATAATATTCATGGCATTCACCACCACCACCAACTTACTTTCATTCTCTATTGATAGATCATCTTCTATGCTCCAGCGATCATAGAATCTTCTAAATTGAGTACTTTGATTTTCCAGGTTTCCAAGCTAGACTCAGTTGCCTTCATGGAATGTCTTCAAAGAATATTAAAAAATCTGGAGGGACTCCAACTTCAATGGTAGGCAAACTTTTTTTGTGTAATTGTCATGTTTGGAAATGTTTTCATTTCTATGGAATAAAAAGCCACATCCTCATCTTTTATTCATATTCTAATGTTATACTTAAAAATAATCCATTTTTTTGTAGGCTACAAACTGGACCAGTGAGATTCCCCTATAAACCAAATCTTCTAATGCTAATAAATTAGTGACGTTTTGAACATCTGGTGAATGACATTCGAGGGAACCTGGCTCCTGTCCTCTTCCCTGGAGGAATAATCACTGAAGTGAGAGCCTCTTTGATGAAAAGACGGGGCTGTTTTTGCTGGAGGACTGGTATTCTTCCTTTTAGTCAGAAGTGAACCTGACTGGGGAGGCTTTCTAGGCATTTAGGTTGGCCCAGGGTGGATAGAAACTACTGTACGTTTTATATATTTTTCTCTTTTATGATTTTTTTTTACATTGAATCTATTTATGTATACTTGCTTTGCCAAAATGCTCACAAAGCTAGAAATTTAAAACTTCCCAATCTAACAGGTATTCCTTAATGTTTATATTGTGACTGATTAAGAATTAATTTTTCATATCTGACTGTTGTAAATAAAAATCATGATGCATTGACATTTATGGTTCATTTTTTGAGAAGTCTTATATAACCAGCGTTATTTCAAATATTTGCATTTTACTCAGGGTATTTTAACAAGGGCTATGATGAGTAGTAGGTAAGGTTGATAATCTTTGCTGGAGTTTGTATTCTGTTTAGCTTACTTTCTACTTGGGTAATCTGCTCTGTATTGCAAACTCATTGTATTTTATAGTGTAGTTTTCATTGTGCTGCAAAAATCATCCTCTTTCTAAATTAGCCACAGTGATAACTAGTCTGCACTAGTAGAATCATTTACCTTTTAAACTATCTACTTCGTCTGATACCTGAAACACATCAAAATTATTATTTTAGTTTAGAGCTTAATGAAACATGTGAAAGCTGGTATTTTTTACAAATACTGTGTGATTCTGAATCACATCATCATGTTTAAAAGGGAGAGCTACTTGTACATCTTTAGAATGGCAGACTATATGTGTCACTGTGAGTGTCAGAAATACTTACATGAGCTCATTTTCACCAAGTGGGGGGGAAATGTAATGTTTCTATTGATGGTGTAATTTAGACACTATAATAAGTTCAGACCATTTGAGTTCTTCAAAATGGTTATATTAAAATGATATTTTTATTAAGCTTCAATAATGAAAAACAATGTGATTTAATATGTGTATTTTATATTATTGTATGGATTAATTAATTCAGCATTTAACTTAAATATGATTAGAAAAGAAACTCTAAGTTGCCATTGCCTTTACCTAAAGTTTTTAAAATCTGGACTATTTCAGCAAATGCATGAAGCAGAAATGTGTGACATCTCCTGTTAGACTGCTTGTCTAATATGGAGAGATTAAAAATGATAAAATGCAACTTTGAGTCTCTTTACCTTTGCATATTTAAAGGTACAATAGTGTGGTGTTGGTAATTGTAAGTAAGCTTTTCTGTGCTATGTCTTTGGAGTGAAAATTCATGGTTTTTTCTGAATTACATAAATGCTTTTGTTTTCTTTTGTATGATTGTCTTTTAGATCTGAATAAGTCACTTTACAACCTTAGCCTGTGAACTTTGCCTTATCAATCATGAATCTCGATGAATGCTGTCTAGTTCTTGGTTCAGTTTTACCTATTTTTATTTTTGGTTCACTGCTTGCTTGAGCATAGCTGGGATTTGTAGCCCATTTTCTAGGCTTATTGCAATCTCACTGTGGTATTTTATAGAAGCTATTACAACTGATAGGCTAGCTTCATGGTATTGATGATACATGGCTAAACCATACTAAAAGCTGCCTTCCCTCTCTAAATTGTGAAAAGGTGATTAAGTTTCTACTTGATGGAGATATACTATATATGTGTGTTTATCATGGAACTAGTGCATTAGTCCATAAACTGTTTTTCTGGTCTACACGTTTTTTGTGTTTAAAATTTCACTGAAGACAATAGACTCCTTCGGGTTCTTTCTTTCAACCCTGAATTGTCCTTGTTTGGATTTTTAAGTACTGTAATTTTTTTTTTTTTTTTTTCAATAAAATCTCTGACTTGGGCAAGAAAGGTAAGAGTTCCAATTTGTGCTGATATTTCTCTGATTATCTTTGCTAAGTTTTGTTGTTGCTTATGTTATTTATATTACATATAACTGTAATATCTAGTTTTAAAAATCATAATCTCACAAAACAGTCATCTTTACACAGTACTCATGACATCTGGTAGTAAGAAGTGAAATTTAATTGCCTTAGACTTTCACACTGGAAAGCCAGATTGCTTTTAAGAGAGATTAATTTTCTGAGCAAAGTCAAACACATGGAGTTGCAACCCATTAAACAGAATGCCAACAAAATATTTCTTAAGCAAATGAGTGATGACTGCACAACTATAATGATGTAATATCTTTGAAGGAAATGACAGAAGGAGAATCTTTTACTGAAATATCAATCTAAACATTTTTTGGGGGGAAAATTTTCCATTGTATTACAGTTGATTCTCACTCTTTGCCATTTTGCTGTTAACACTGAATTCAAGAATACTGAATCATGGCTCCTAAGGGAAAGACAGGGTTAGGTTCCTGTGAGCCTTTGGTCATAAGATTTTCACCAGCTGATCAGTAGATAACCTTGTCTTGTGTATGTTTGTGTTTAAAGACATTTAGTATATATTGTTGACATGTTAACATTGAACTCATGGCCGATAGCACTGTAACTTATTTCTGAACAAAGATTATCTATTAAGTGTTTTCTCTATAAGGCACATCTCAGTCTTCTTGCACTTAGAAGCAGTAGACAGCACTTCTCAGCACTCTTCTTGGGGCTACTTAAAACAGAATAATCACTCACAAAAATCACAGAAATACAAACACAATCTGGTACTCATTTAGATCACAAAAATGACACGTGTTTACAGTATGATAGCTTACACAATTAGGAAGAAAGTCACCTCGTTAACCTCAGTTCGGAATGCACATGTGTATCAGGTAACTCACGTCACATTTTTCACTGCTCTGCACATGTCACTGAATGACTACAAAAGTCAGAAATGATGAGTATTAATTTTGGGGTTACAAATAAATTTTAGCAGGTAGGCATATTTGCAAATATGGAATCCACAATGGGAAGGAGATTGACTCTATTTAGTTTTATAGAGAGCAAAGTGGTATTGTAGAAAATTGATAGATTTTGAAGTCAGATCTTTGTGAATCCACACTCTGGTTCTTCTTTTTAGTTGTAGTTACATTTTGAACCTCCTTCCTTCCTTTTTTTAAACACTGACAATGCTTACTTTTGCATAAGTGTCATCAGGTTTTTAAAATGAGATTATGTATACATAATATGGGCCCAGCACTATCTCTGGTGCATAATATATATTAAATAAATGATAGTTACAATTGTTAGATATATTAAACACTATAGCTGGGACTTAGAGAACATTTGTATCATGAGTCAAAGTGTAGAATTTTGGACCTTAAACTTTTCTGGTTTTTCTTTTTTCTTTTTTTTTGAGACAGGTCTCACTCTGTCACCCAGGCTGGAGTGCAGTGGCACAATCAAGGCTCACTGCAGCCTCGACCTCCCAAGCTCAAGTGATGCTCCTACTTCGGCCTCCCTAGTAGCAGGGTCTACAGCCATTTGCAAACATGTCTGGCTAATTTTTATATTTTTAGTAGAGATGGGTTTTGCCATGTTGTTGAAGCTGGTCTCAAACTCCTGGGCTCAAGCGATCCTCCCTCCTCAGCCTCCCTAAGTGTTGGGATTACAGGTGTGAGCAACCACAACTGGCCTGTTCATATTTTATACATAATTTGCCTTTACATTTAATATTTAAAGTACTTTATATGGCATTCTTTTGTGTTTCTTTTATACCTTATTTATATTTGAGCTGGCCTCTGTCTTTAATATGATCTGTGACTCATAGTTGCAAATAAATTTTAGATCGACAGCCACTCCACTAAATCTTAAAACTTAACTGCAAACTGGGAAACTTCTCTAAACTCTTATCCTGATCACAGACCGCATAGACCTTCTCCCACCATCATTTAAACTATTTATTTCTACAATGAATAGCTACAAATGAATAACTTAAATGATGCGGGGAGAAGGTCTAATAGGTATTCCTGAACCTATACTGTTCAGGAGATTAGGGTCCTGATCTACTTGATCTACCTGATTTTTAAAATTAATTATGCTCATATGCATGCAAACAGAGTCCTGAGATTTTTATGCTGAGAGGAATTACTATCCTAGTAAAGTACCAATTTGTTAAAACTCAGCTAACTAGCATCTCTTATTCCCTACTTTTAGGAGAATGAAGCAAATGATAATTAATTTCAAGGGATATTCAGCCCAAATCTCTTCTATTTCCATATTTTGTTCATTAAGCTTAATTCAGAATAATATTTCTCAGAATAATGATGGCAGAATCTGTTTTGGTATATAGTACCTATAAAGCGCATCCAAGTAACCTTACGTAAGCATCACATTCCAGTTAGCTAAGATATATCCTATTCCTGTGTATCCTAAAAAGTCAGTGTTTTTTGTAGGTCAGAGCTTTTTAAAATTCTTTTTTGATTTGAATTAATGGTCTTTCAACAGGTGTTACATTGGTCTACTAAAAATTAGCATTCAAATTGTGCAGTCTTCTCAAAGATCAGGAAATAAATGACTCAGCTTAAAATACATTGTTGGATGACAACATGATATTACATGGAAATTTTATGTAAGAGTTATAGGAATTTATTTAAAAGTGTTAGAATTACCTCAGTCTACTTTTCTGTATGGTTGCAATAAGAATACATTGGTGCTGGTATTGACGGTTACTCTGCCAAAGAAAATGAATCTGACTTAATTGACTTCTTATTTATGTATGTTTATCAAGCTCAAAAATATGAAACAAATGTTGACATTAGCTCATGCTGTACAAATAGGCATTCTGTTTACATTCACTGTACAAAAACCCTGAACACATGATTTGCATTTTTTCAGAATCTTGAGTCACTTCATTCTATAGGAGAAAAAGAATATTGTGTGTATTTTTTTCTGTGAAGTCATAGAAAATCAGGATTATATGAGTGGCATTTTGTTAATGATAATCATACCATAATGATTTACTCTGTATGTCTTGCTCAACTTTTATTGTTTCTTAGGAAACTAGAGTAGGAATATCTAGTCTTCTTTATAGCCTTTTACAACAGTAGGACCATTTAATTTTGTTTTTTCTTTTTTTTGAGACAGAATCTTGCTCAGTTCCCCAGGCTGGAGTGTAGTGGCACAATCTTGGCTCACTGCAACCTCTGCCTCCCGAGGTCAAGTGATTCTTTTGCCACAGCCTCCCCAGTAGCTGGGACTACAGGCACCCACTACCACACCCAACTAATTTTTGTATTTTTAGTAGAGATGGGATTTCACCATGTTGGCCAGGGTGATCTCAAACTCCTGACCTCAGATGATCTACTGGCCCCAGCCTCCTAAAATGCTGAGATTACAGGTTTGAGCCACCACACTCAGCCAGAAGGGCCATTTAAAATGAAGTTGATTTACATAAGGGAACTTCATAGTCTAAGAGAAAGGAAAACTTTTATCATGGAAAGCAACTCTAAAATGATTTTTAAAAATGCACACAGCCTATGTCCTCAACTGTAATTTGACCGTGACTAATTAACAATTTTTAAGTGGAATTTACTAGCAAAATGCTTTATTTTAAGCCCTATGCACTGATATATGTTTATATCCTTAAGGAATTTGGGGGTACTTTGGAGAATACAAGAAGAATGTGTTTTTGAACTGTTATTATATTTTAAATATATATCATGTATAATCTAGGATTACAGGTGTCAGCCACCATGCCCAGCCAGAAACTGACACTTTTTAAAATAACTTATTTTGAGATAAATTGATTCTGTATCTTAGAAAAGTACAACTTAATAGAATTATAATAAATATTTCTTTTATAAAATACATTTTGATACTGTCTCTTTTATTTAAAAATTCCCTATTTTGGTCTAGGACATGGTGGCTAACACCTATAATCACAGCACTTTGGGAGGCTGAGGCAGACAGATCACCTAAGGTCAGGAGTTTGAGACCAGCCTGGCCAACATGGTGAAACCCCATCTCTACTAAAAATACAAACATTAGCCAAGCATGGTGACATGTGCCTATAATCCCAGCTACTCGGGGGGCTGAGGGAGGAGAATCGCTTGAATTTGAGTGGTGGAGGTTGCAGTGAGCTGAGATCATGCCACTGCACTCCAGCCTGGGTGACAGAGTGAGACTCCTCAAAAAAAAAATTCTCCATTTTGATATCATTTACAACCATGTATTCTATATCATAGAAATTTAATATCTGTAATTATTTTAAAATATGATTTGAATAATTTTTCATTCAGTTCTATTAAATGGTATCTGTTTATTTTGGTATTCTTTTATTATGCTTTATTAAAAGAGCAGATATTTACAAACTTAAATAGTACAGATAGAGTATATTTATTCAGTCAGCAGTATTTCAATGTTCATTTTATTCTCCATATTTAGCCTTAGAAACCCTTTAGGAAAAATTGTATAAACTGGTGTTCAATCTTGGTATTTCAGTGTTACCAAAATTGACAACATCTATTTTTCATATATTTAAAATACTGCTTCTTGCTTCTATGATAGCTTAGTCTTTGAACGGGCTTGACTTTATAGATGTCATTGTCATTTGGGTTTGTGATACTTTGGAAATCTGGAACCTTGCAAAGTGAATGTTAGTAATTTAGTAATTATAACAGACATGATGATGCTTACTATGTGCCAGACACTTTTCTATGTGATATTTTCATATATATTTTTTTATTAATTTAATCTTATTAACATATCTATAATATTCATTAATGTCTACAACTTAGTTTATTACATGTTCTTCCTTTGACAAGCCAAAATTAATACAATTTGAAAGTTTTTCATATTTCTGTCATGTTGCTAATATTAATAAATATAAATAAATTTTCATCTATAAGCAGTCTTCATTTCCTGGTTATGAAATGCCTGGTTACAAAGTGAATTATTTTTGAAATACTCACAGGCACTCTTTGTATCTCGAATGGCAAGCACAATCAAGACGTGTGCCGTAATAAAAATGATAATGAAATGTTTTACTGCTTCTATCAGATGAATCACTGGAACCCAGTCCTCATTTTCATCCTATCTTCCCTTTTTATATTTTCTCAGGTAGTCTACAGTACCTTCTTGCCGATCTAGTTCTAGCACCTTCTGGTCTGCTTGCTTGCTCTGTCTTTTCCCTGCCTGCCCTCTCTGGACCCTCATCATCTCTCCAACCTGTTTTACAGTGTGCCTCATAGCTGTCACATTGCTATTTTAGTTCAGGTGTGATGATATCCTATGTATTTCTTACATTCCTTTCCCCTCCTTTCTCGGGTAACTTAGCAAAGCTCTGGGAAAATCTCTTAAAGGAGGATGATCTTTTTAGCTGGGACTTGTAGAATGAGTTAGAGCTTACTAACTGATTGGGGAAGGAAATTGACAGACAGAAAGGCATGGTCAAGGATTAACTTTGAAGCAGCATGGAATATTCAGGAAACTGTGAATCCAGTGTTAGGTATAAGATATGCTTGTGTGGAGTGATATGTAGTAGCAGGGAGGGTTGTGCTGAAAATGTGGGCAGGGTTTAGATACTTATGGACGTTATGGTCCATGGGAATGCATGTGAACCCATGTAATCTCCAAGGTGTTAAAAATTACCAGATTTGCTTTTTAAAAGGTTACATGGGCAGTAGTATGGAGAGTACATTAGGTAATTCCAAGTTAAGACTATATCAGGAGACTAAGATCCATGCCTGTTCCACAGTAGGTAGGATCCATGGATGAGACTAAACCCTTACATTTTTATGGTACTTGATATTCTGATCAACTCTTGCATGGCATCCACTCGTTTAACAAAGACTTTTGATACCAGGTAATGCCAGTATCAGATACTGCTGGGCCTCGGGTGTTAATGATGAACAAGTTAGATAGGATCTCTTAGGAGCTTACATTTTAATGAACGAAAGTAAACCTGCCGGAGGTTGGGAGGAGAATAAGGAGATAAAAATGGACATGGAGAAAATTAAGCAGGGTAAGTGTTAGAGAATTATAGAACATGAAGTTGATTGGAGAGAATATGATTTGCAGGCTGAAATTTTTAGCAAATCTAGTGCCATTCTTCTTATTGCCCTTATAACAGTTGGGGAAAGGAGCAAGGGTGTACATTATTCATACCTGTTCATTCAAGAAGTTGGGATAGGTTTTAGTCATCTCTCCTGATTCCTGATCAGATTTCCCAAGCTTTTAAATGTCACTATGGGTCGGTCTGGGAATGGCAAAAAAGTCACTTTTGTTTACCAGGTACAGTTTTACTACTAATGATTCTGATTTTTTTTTTTTTTTGCCTTTATGTATATTTAATCAAGAGTATTTGTGGGGTAATGTAATATTTTGAAACACATATGCAATATGTAATAAATCAGATTAATTAGGATATCCATCACCTCAAACATTTATTGTTTCTTTGTAACTTCTGAATAATTTTTTTAAAGAAAGTTTGCAGATGCTAATTATTTATATAGTATATTGGACGTTCCCTTTAGATTTCATTATAATGTATGTCCTGATATTTAATATATAAGAACTTTGCTGCAGAGGTTACCAGTTTACTCTTCTGTTTTCATGGCAACTTAAATATTATGCAGTACAACTAGCCTTTTTATTACATTTTTAAAAATGCATGAAATACCATGCTTTCTGCTTTTTATTTTTCTCACTTTAGTATTTGCATACCAATTCTTAAGTCATTCCTTTATTAAAAAAGAAATGATTTGTTTCAGATTTATATTTTTGTTTTTGAGATATATTTATAATCTATAGACTTTTTAATGAATCTCTTGATTTGCAAATGTGAGGTTTTCTAAAAGTACTTCTTAGATTATGATTATCATTTAAAAACTTTTCTTCTCTTTTATACCCTAAGAAACCTTTGAAATATGTTTTAAAATGCTCTTTCAAAATTAAGGCTGCTGATTGGTAACCATTTGACTTCACAAATGAAGACGCAACACCTTTCTGTAGTGTCTCTTAAAATGGTGACGACATTGTTAGACTCCCCATTATTATTATTTTAAAAAAATCAAAATCAGGGAAACAAATGCTGCAAACATTTTACTTTCTAAGAAGCTTCTACTCTGTTTTTCTGCCTTTCTTGTTGCTGATAGAATTATTCTGATGGTCTATAAAATTCAGTTTTCTAATTTCCCTTCAGATATTTCATATATCTAGTATCAGAAAAGTTCAAAATCATTGATGGGCATAACACTTCCAAATAGTAGTTAACAAGCACTTTCTATACAGAAGTCACTTGCAAGTCCTCCAACTGAAGGTCAGTTCGAAGAACTGAAAGTTCATTATGGAATCATATAGATAGGAATTTTCTTTACTATAGTTAGAGAATGCCAACCAGATATTTTGTTGACTGACATTCAGGAAAGGGGATTCTGAGAATCCAAAGATGCCAACAGGTATTTATGTATGTTTTAAACCAATAAAACTTGTAAAATTTTTGTTGTTGTTGAATCCCAAGTACCTGAAGCACTGACCAGGACTTAATAGGGTCAATTTCATGATGTTTTTGTGTTTGTGTTTTTGTTTTGTTTTCTTTTTGCATACCAAAGGAGTAATGACTTGTCCCATTAATCTTCTCTTAGAACTTCATATTTAGATCTCATATTTGATCATAGACAGTTTACCATTGAAATATCACAGGTCCATACAATTCTGAACTTGCAGGAGTGCTTACCTTTAAGTTACCTGTGTCTGTGTAGGAACATTTAATGGTGTCTACTTGGTTTTTCTGAGGTGCGTTTTATATTTCAATCAATTTTGAAGTATTCAATCTAGAAATTGTTCTTTAAAAACTAAATGTTTATTACTTAGATTTCATTTCATTTTATCTCATTTATATATATCCTTAACAAATTAATTTTTCAATTCACAAAAATACTTATAAAAATTCACGAAAGTATTTTATATTATTTGTCAGATGAATAAATAAGTATATACTACATTTGACTGAGAAACAATGTCTTGCCTAATTGTGTTTTTAGCCATAAAAACCTAGGAAATACCATGCAGTACATACGCATGGTCAAGAAGTTTCTATGCTCAAACACAAAGAGCAATGGCAACAAATAGACAAATGAGACCTAATTAAACACAGGAGCTTCTGAACAGCAAAAGAAAACATCAATAGTGTGACCTGAAAACAAGGAAAATGTGAAAATGTTTTTGCAATCTACCCATCTGACAAGAAACATATATTTAGAATCTACAGAGGACTTAAACAAATTCACAAGATAAAAGAAATCAGCCGCATAAAAAAAGTGGACCAAAAATATATTCACACACTTTTCAAAAGAAAACATTTATGCAGTCAAGAAACATATAAAAATAACTCATTATTGGTCATTGGAGAAATGCAAATCAAAACCATATTGAGATACCACCTCACCTCCCTTAGAATGTCGATAATTACAAAAATCAAAAGACAAGAGATGCTGGAGAAGATATGGAGACATAGGAAACGCTTTACATTGTCGGTGGGAGTGTGTATTATTTCCACCACTGAAGACAGTGTGGCAATTCGTCAAGGATCCAAATATAGAAATACAATTTGATCTAACAATACCATTACTGGGTATATACCCAAAGGTTTATAAATCATTTTATTATAAAGACACGGCTATATGTTCATTGTAGCCGTGTTTACAAGAGGAGAAACTTGAAACTAACCCAAATGCCCATTAGTGATAGACTAGATAAAGACAATGTTACACATATATACCATGGAATACTATGCAACCATCAAAAAGAATGAGTTCATGTTTTTTGCAGGGATAAGGATAAAACTGGAAACAATGATTCTCAGCAAACAGACACAACACTGCGTATGCTCACTCATAAGTGGGTGTTCAACACTGAGAACATATCGACACTCGGAGGGGGACATCACACACTGTGGCCTGCAGGTTTAAGGGGTTAGGAAAGAAATAGAAAAAGGTGACGGGATTGGGAAGCGATAGCAAGAGGAATATTATCTAATACAGATGATAGGGTGAGGGATGCAGAAATCAACCACCATACCATGTGTATTAGTAACCATGGGAACAGCAAGGCTTGGGCCTGGAATTTCCTGGAGACATGATAACCTGAATGTCAATGACTGACATGTACTTTCACTAATGGGCTGTGGTACCATCTTACCTATTCATTTTCCCTCATTACTCAGGTGAGAATCAAGGCATAAAGTGGGCACATTGGTGACATGGCCCGGGCACTGGGATTATGTCAGACGCCAGGGAGGGGGAAGCCACCAGCAAAGACCCCACATCAGGGACCAGGATTGTGTAGCAACTTCTTTTGACCACCACCCTTGCCCCTGCAGCCTGACTCATCACCTAAATTTATATCTATGTTGGAGAATGGAAGGGACAGTCTTAGAAGAAGACACACAAAACCCTGCCATCTAAAGACAAACCAAGCTATCATTGTGGTGTTTATTTCTAGTATTTTGTCTGTTTTGTTAATTTCATAGTCCTGCTACATAGCAGTGATTTCTGCGCACGCTCCCTGCACTCTACGATCTTCCTCTGGTGAGGAGGATCCTGTAATGAAAAGAAAAGTGCAGGCTGATCAGCTGTGGACCTGGGTATACGTGGGGCTCACCCATATCTTGTCTGGCCCTCACAGCATGTGCACATTGGCTCCTTATTTCCATCTACCTATGACATCTGCATCCCTCTTGAAACTACCTGTGCCTGCTTGTATGTAGATCTCCCACTACCCAAGTGTGTGTCTCTAGACAGATTTGTGTAACCTCCTACTTGCAAAATAGGGATCCTGCTAGGAACTGCCATCGGGACTCCTGCAAAGGTTAAGTGGGAGTGGTTAACCAAAGCCTAGGTGAGCCATGGAGACCCTCTGAACATTCACAAAATATTAATTTTTTATTATCAACTGCTGCCTAATTGTCTTCTAGGATCAACCAACATATGCACTCAACTACTTTGATCTTGTTAATTTTCATTTCTATTTTCAGCACTGAAGATATATACTTCATTGAAAGTCACTATAAATAACCTGCTAAGGTTGTTTAGATTTTCAGTAAGTCTTTATTAAGGCCTCAAGGGCCAGGCCAATCACAGACTAACCTCAGCCTTTGCAGCCTCAGGAAGAATAATAAAGTCCATTCCATCAGTGATATTCTGGGGCCCACAATCTCTAGTGGCCAGCTGAAACCAGAAACGACTTTCCTGATATTGGCTTTAGTCTCCTCCAAGACCCCACTGCTTCAGCCTGAGAGAGCCTCAACCTACTAGAGGATGGTGTCATCTGTGTTCCCCACAGGGTGTCCTGAAAGTTGCTGAGATGTAGCAGTATGGGTCTGCCCAGAATTCTGCCACCCTCTCACTCATTTTCTCTGGCCCTGGCTTCTGCCTCCTACCTGCTGGCCATCTGGTTCTGAAATGTGCCCATTCCACTTCACCGACTCCTGAGTCTACCTTTTGTGAGGCACACTCGTAGATATCTGAAAAACTTGAGAAAAATTTTTTCAGCATACATTGAAGAGGTGAGGAAGGTCGCGATGAAGACATACCCATTGTTGAGTTAAAACACAGACAAAACAAAAAGGAGGGAAACTAAATTGAAACAGACAAAATCAATGACTAAAACTGAAACTCTGTTCTTCAGCATCCTGGAGTGATGATGCAGTCATGAGGGAGGACCCCTGCCAGGGTCATTTCCCTCCCAGAAAGATGGAGTCAGATCTCACTAAACTTCACAGACTGAGATTGAGGACTCAGGATTTGAATTTTATTGGGCACGCTGGTGGTGATCTGGTCCCCTCCAGAAGGCAGTGGCCTATCGGGCCCTGGAAAATCTCAGGAGACACCTGCTGCATAGTCCCTAATTAGTCCAGGGGAGCTTAGAAGGAGTGTGGTCCTCTACGGATGGCGATCTTCCTGGGGTTCCCAAATGTTACATCCAATCGAGTTAGATGAAAAGCACCACACTGAGTTTCAATTAGGAGTCATTTATTGCTGGCAACTGAGAGGTGGCTCACATTCTAAAATCTCTCGGCCCTGACAAGGGGGTGTGATTTGCTTCTATATCTATTCTAGAAGAGTGGGGAGGGCTAGTCTAGCTGAAGCAGAATTTTACAGAAGTAGAACAAGCAAGTTAGAAGAGGAAGCTGGTAACCAGGGGGCTGGAGGTTCCCATAGTTGTTGGTTACCAAAGGGGGTGGGTATTCACAATAGTTAGGGGACTTGCCAAGCAGAATGCGGTTGCAATGGTTACAAAGTTCTGGTTACAGCGTGATTCACCTGTGCACCCAAAGGAGAGAACTGCAGGCAGGGAGAAGCTAAGATGAAGTCTGTCTGATTAACTTCATTGGATGTTTAACAATGAGAACATATGGGCACAGAGAGGTGAACATAACACACGGGGGTCTTTTGGGGGGTGAGGGCATAGGGAAGGTACACTGAGGAGTGGGGAGGTTGGGAAGGTTTAACACTGAAAAAAACATCTGATGTAGGTAACAGCGGGCGATGGAGATAGAAAAAAACCATGGCATGTTGGAATCATCATGCAAGATCTGCACATGTACCCCAGAACTTAAAATACAATTAAAAATAAAAACAGGTTCTGCATCTTATAAGTAGGAATCCCTAAGACGGAACAAATCCAATTAACATCCCCTCATAATTTTGTATAATCATTCAACAGTGTATGTAAGTTGCTAGTATTTAATTTACCATCGGAGGTCTTACTGACCAGGCAGTTAGTATCTATCCAAGATACATCCAGAGTGAGTATATTTGTAGTTTCTCAGGTGCAATGAGTAAACCTCCTCAATGTGCATTCTCTACATGACAGAGGAATACAACTTTAAAAGCACAGGCTATATGGAGCTACCAGTAAAATCGTATACATAAAATTAGTATATCTTGAAATTGCAAATATTTTTTCTACTGGGAGGTAAACCTTGATTTCCAAAACACTGACACATGGTAAGACTGTTTAGCATTCCTTAAAGATGCACATATTTTCCAATGAAATTGGGAAGCCAGCTTTTCATTAGTAATAGCTGTTAGGGTAAATGCAAATTTTCCCGTGTTCTTTTCTGCCAGAGAAGTTGTACGAAAATATTGTTTTAGGTCAATGAAAATTATAGGCCAGTCCTAAAAAATCACTGTGTGGATTCTGAGCTGCAGAAGCCCCAAAGGTTACAATTTAGTGTTAATAGCACATAAGTTATGCAAAGTCTCCTCTTGCCAGGTTTTTTAGGGATGATGAAAATGGTCGAGTTCCAAGGACTTGCTGAAGTTGAATATGTCTGGTCAGAAATTGTTCAGTCACTAATTCATGGACTATCAATAATTTATTCCCCTTCTGGAGTCATTGTTCTTCCCAGACAGGATCTTGAGATGGGCACATGATGGTAGGGTAGAAATAACAACGGTGGCCTTTTTTAGAAAGAGGTCTGCAGAGTGACAACTGTTGGGCTACTGGATCCCATCCCCAAAGCTTAACAGGGATGTTCATGATGAGAGGTTGTATCAATGACTTTCTCCCTTCTGGATAACAGCACACCAGGAGGTGTGTGCTCTAATTTGTTATATGTGCTTCCCCAATGCCAACGATCTTTTGTTCCTAAGTGACATGAGGCCACGTTATCAGCCAGTTTTGAACACTGATAATTGAAATAATCACTCCTGTGTCCAGAAAGCCAGTCACATTTTTATTTCCAATTTTTTTTTTACTTTTGTTGCCTTTTAATGCTGTGATACTTAAATGTTAAATCAGCATTTTCATGTGATCTGAAGTATTTCAATTACATATGAGCATTCATTGTTTTTTGCAAAAACTCAGTATTAGGTATAGTTACATACTACTGCAGTAACATTCCTCTGCTGTACAAATTAAACAATTGAAAAGAAATGAGCATTCTAAGAATTATATACAAAAGAAACCTGTAAGCAGTGTTGAAATGAAATGCAAGGTGTCATTGCTAGCTCTACTGTTTTAAAATATCTTCAAAAAGTAAAATTAACAAATACTCTTCAACATATCCAGGTTTACAAGTCTCAAGAAAATCAAATGTCAAAAATTCTAGAAAGCTGTGAAAAGCATATATCCATTTTCCTTATGACCTTATGAGGCTTCTTCACACTTTTAAGAAGTTGCTAAGTTTCAGTATCAATTTATTCGCATGTCAACTTTATCTGCCCCGAAACTCCCATTTTTGGATACAGTTCCCCTCTGATTTCAGATAAAGCTCTGCGTGATCGTCCTTCAGTGAAGGCGCGCGATCTGACACAGGGATGCCAGGTGTGCGCATGCCACACTGCACTCAGATCGCCAGCAAAGATGGGTGTAAAAAAGCAAAGATAGGTCTAATCTGATCGTATCAATGCCCTCTTCCCTAAACCACACTCTCATCCATACATTTGCCTTCATGAACCCAGCCGTGTTCAGAACTCCCGCAGCACACGGAGTCTTTGAATTCTGAAATGACACAAAGATCAAGAGAAAGCCCACATGTGCCCTAGTGTGCAAGCAGCAGCAGCAGCTATGATCTCCAACCTGGACTGAAAAACAAAAGGGTAAAATGAAAAACCGTTCACTTAACAGTAGATTAGCAGTAATGTTCCTCATGAATCAATAAGAGTGCCTGATGCTGAATAGCTAACAGCAAAGGCTGAATTTGGATTTAATATAGATGTTTACTGGAGATTAAGCTTCTTGCTGAGCTGGTCTCTTCAAATCCCTGATCTGTTTAACTAAATAGGTCTTCTCGTCATTAAACTGCTCATCCTCCGTCCTGTCATTCTGAAACTTGCTGAGGGACTCTATGAGTTTGGTCTGGTTCTTGAGGAGGATGTCTAGGATGGGCTGTGTCTTGTTAGGATTGGCTACAAACACCTTAAAAACGTGAAAGGCCTCAAACTGGATGTTGCGACTTTTGTCTCGCAGCAGGTTCATCATTAACTTGAGGTTCTCAGGTTTACTGATGTATTTTGTCATAATTGTGAAGTTGTGTCTGTCTAGTAGTAGTTCACCGAGAAGCTTGAGTGACTGTCTTTTTGTCACATAATTTTCTGAATGAAGTAACTTCTCATATTCACTCAAAAATCTATCATAATGCTGTTCCAAAAATTCTGCACTGAGCAATTTATGTCTTGTAAGTAAATCCTTGAATGTGGCAAATGCATCTGAAGCTATGTCAAACGTTGACATTTCGACATATCTGAAGAAATCAGAAACCTGTTCTGACCACAAAATGATTTTTGCAAGTGGTTCATGTCTGATGCATTCTCTTAACATTATTCCACAATTTAAAGCTATTTCTGGAGATTCATACCCTTTCAATAACACGAACAAAATATTCTGTTGGGTGCAGATGTATTCAACAGTAGGAGTTCTTGTACCAATTTGTCTTCTGAGAACATTGTTGAAAATTTGAGCCACGTCTTTTTTGCCCTCAAAGTCAACGAGCTGTAAATCAGCTACCAGGGTGCTAAGAAGCCCACTATTATAGAGTTCGTGAGCAAGCTGGGCCACTGCTTCTGTCTGAGGCTCTTTTTCATTTGTGCCATACAGAATTTCTTTCATGGCAACCAGATTTTTGGAAACTTCTTCTGTAGCCTTTTCTGCTTTTTTGTCAGAAATGTCTTGCTCTTCCAGAACGGCCATGCTTTCCTTCAGATCCTTCACAGTGTCTGCTGGAGATTTGTGAGACTTCCCGAACGGGAACCGCATGACGGCAGGGGCAGGGCCTCCGCTGCACTCCGCCTGTGCTACGGGGCTGGGCTGGGCGTTCCCTTCTCTGCCTCCGCGTCGTCGCCGTCCCCGTCCTCGGCTGCCGCCGCCTCGGGCTGCTCGTTCGGTGTCCGCGGCGTGGCTCGGACGCTGGGCCCCTCCGTTGTCTTCCGCCCGCTCCTGCTTCAGGCGACGGGCTCCTGCGGCGGCCGCGGTGCTGCGCTCACTCGGCTGCGGCTGCTGCTGCGGGACTCGACGCCGCCTTAGTCCTCGCCTGTGCCCCCGCCCAGGCCCCTGAAGGCTCCGTGTCTCCCAGGCCGCGCCGCTCCCCGATCCCCGCGCCCCACTCGCGGCCCGAGCCCGGCTTTGACGTGCGCGCTGCGCAGCCGCCGAGGACGCGAACTTTATTTCCAGTTTTTAAGGTAACGGTGGGTCTCTGATCAATGATTATTTGATTCCAATAAACTCCTGTGGCCTCTGTGATTCCAAAAATTCCCTTACCGCCCCCCCCTTTTTTTTTTTTTTTTTTTTTGGCATTAGGAAAGCAGTATGGTAAGATCAGAAAGTTATCTATCTTTGACCCAGGCGGAAGAATATACAATCATTTGCATTCCATCAGCACAAGTACTTCATTTTGATAATCCCTCTCCATAACGTCTGTGAGCTCCTTAACTCCTTCTCTGGATAGGGTAGACGATCCTGGGCTTAATCCCACTGCTCCCAAAGGCAGCAGCTCTCAGATTCTGGTCGTGACTCTTTTGGGTCCACTTCTTCTTTTAACTCTAACTCACGTGGGCAGAGTAATTCTAGCCCTGCGATCCCACTGGTGGCTGCTCTTCAGGAGAGAACTGTGGGCTCTCTCTCTGGCTGAAGAAAGCTGTTAGCATGGCCCCAATTTGAAGCAGTGCTCAAGGTTGGCGCCTCATAAATTTTCCTGTCTTATTACCTATGAGTTTACCATTTTTATTATATTTGGATCACCATTGGTTTGCCGATGTTTTCCCTTTTTACATCAAAGACATACCGAAAGAGGTCTCTGTTGTCTGTTTGAGATGCAGTCTCCCTTTGTAACCCAGGTTAAAAGACAGAGGCTCAAACTCGGCTCACTGAAACCTTCACCTCACAGGTCCTTGTCCAAGAAATTCTCCTACCTCCACCTCCTGAGTATCTGAAATAACAGGCACACACCGTTGTGCCCAACTATTTTTTTTTTTTTTTTAATTTTTAAAACAAATGGGTTTTATCACGTTGGCTGGCTGGTCTTGAACTTCTGACCTTGTGATGCATCCACTTCACCCTCCCAAAGTGCTGGGATTACAGGTGAGAGCCACTCTGACAAGCCAAAATTGGGTTCTTTCTCTGATTTACCTTTGTCTCTATTCTGTGGGCAGTCCCTTCACATATGACCTGACTCACCACTGAAAAAACTATTAGTTTCTCTCCTCCTCGTTGTAGGAGGCCTTAATGTCATAGCCAAAATTTTGGCATTATGTTTTTACTAGTTTGATTGGTTTCATAAATTCCCACACTGTGGCTGCTTTTTACCTAACTGCGTGTAATCCACACTGGTGTTTTCACAAGTCAATTGCAACAATGAAATATCAGCAGACTGATTGTGAATAATTTGTCTTTTAGGTGCCTGGGTTAAATGATGAATAAATTCAACAAATGGCACCTAAGGTCCCTTACGAACGTTCACAAAAAGATGCCTGTTGAGCTATTTGTCCCAGGTGCAGAGGGCACTAAAATAAATTTGATTATATGCCTGGTGACCAAAATCTAATTTTTGTAGTCAGCCTGGGGACTCTTCTCCTGGAACATAGCAGCTATGATGTCTTGCCCTATCGCCTGATTACTTTTGGCTTATTGTTCACACACCTCATCATATTTTGCCCTCCAAAAGAGGCTGGGCTTCAAAGTTATTTGAGCTAGCACTGAGTAGTCCCATGGGTTCATTTGAACGTTGTCTGCTACAGCCTCAATTATTTCTTTCATAATTGGCTAGAAGCTCCATTTTTTTCAATGCTTTCTCTAAGCTCTTTAGAAGTGCTAAAGGAGATGTGTTCTTGCGTCTGACTGCCACGCTGATCTTCAGTTTTGGGTCAAGGCAAGAAGTTCACCTTCCAAAGCTGCTTGTTTAAAACAAGAAGTCATACCTGCAGAATGTCTTGTGTCTTTTTCTTTACTGAATGGAGGACCAGGCACAGGAAAAACCTCTGTTTCCTTTGTATCGTTACCTCATGATAGCTGGGTTGAGGAAGAGGCTGAAGGTAGGAATGGAGATTATGGCTCCTTCTCCTTCCCCTCATTGGACTCCTATACATATAATAGGACTCGGGCCACTCTCACTAATGCTCATGATGTTAGAGAAGTTACAGTAACCTGTTTCCCTTTGATGTAATTCTGTTTTAGATTACTTCCCACTTTCACTCAGCTATCTAGATCTAAGGTGCTCTCTGCTGGTGACCAGGGATTATGAGAGAAATTAGTTTGTATTAAATTTCTTAATTCATTTTGTAAGATTAACCTCTCAGTAGCCTTAAGAACGTTGTCCAGCCCTTCATATGCTGCCCTTGCTGGGCTGATAACTGTTGTCTCATGATGAAACCCTGGCCTGAAACATTGTCTCCCCATAATTGGTAATCCTCAGTGGAAACCAGTGACTTGCTGATTTCTTCACTCCACTGTGGTCTTCTTTCCTTTCCATTCTGGGGAGTCCACTGTTCCCTTTTCTCTTCCTTGCAGTGGTGATGACATTAGTTCACTCTGTGTTTGAGCATCGCTTTGACCACTGTCATGTCGCCTTTCTGCGCATGGAGCACCCCTCGTGCCCTCGATCACACTGAGATCACAAACTGAGACGTGTGTCCCACCACTGCAGAAATCTGACCTGCAGATTCCGACTCAATGGTGTATGAATGAATGCACTCTCTCACCATTACACTGTGTCAAGTGGCCTAGGAAATGGGTGTTGGCTGCCATCAGAGAGCAAAATGCAACCAAGCAAACTAGATTCCCTGACTCATCAGCACGTTTAGTGTGTAGACATTACAATAGAGGTTCTAAGATAACACTCTTGTGGATAATGAACATGGTTAAAGGTCTGACTTTAGAACTGATGAAATATTTTGGTTTTGGGCCACAGAGGAAATGCAATTGAAGGGAAGTTCCCCTTTGATTCTTTCAGAATGACCACCCAGAACAAAATTGACATGAATAAACAGTTAGACTGGAGCCATATGCATGTGGATTAAGGTCTTTCTATCGTTGTCTAATCTGGTTCTATAGTCATGTTTTGGAGGCAGCTGCCTTTAACCTGCCCCAATAAAAACTCTTGGTCTTCCAAACAGTTTGAGATGACAATCTATCTCTTTTCCAACAGTTCATAGCTTTAATATCTTGCCAGCAACACTGAGTAAATAGAAACATTTAAAAATACCAAATTGTTGGACACTAAATTATAAGCATTTCAAGATCCAATAGAAGTAAGACCTCTAAACACAACAAGGTATGTTTCTTCTATCAAAGAGTTCTGGGGACTTTATCTAGCCAGTTGAAAATATCTGTGGGCAGTTGTCCCTTTGCCCACAGGCTGGTTAAGCTTATTCTATCTACCTGTCTGACTGAATGCACTCAGATTGGATTACAGGCCTGGACTGAACAACTGCCATGGGCAAACATGGCATAGAAAGTGGAGGCATGTATGAGCATCTCTGAGGTCCAGCTAATACACACGATCAGGCATGTCAGCTGTGGCAAAGCAGAAGTTTACTGGTACCAGCTAGAGTTTCATCTCATTGAGTAACCGAAGCTGGACCAGAAATACTGCAAGAAGATTCTCAGCTGATACCAGAATGTGTAGTGACACCCAGAAGCTTGAAGGTGCCAGAAACAGCAAAACCCTAACAAGAGTATTACAGCCCTGGTGTTTGGAGCCTGTATGTCTGTGCACCCTGAAAAGCCAGAGCTCTCATCTTATTTTTGTCTTCCACAATGTGATATGCAAGAGATATTTTTACTCCTGTTTTGGTTACAGATCTTTCAGTTCAAATATTCAGTAAATCTCAAATAATTTTTTTGCATTCAGAAAGAATGAGGTACCTGTGCAGGTGGAGCCTGAGCAACATAAAGAGCCTTACTGGGTAACAGAGCTCTGAAAAAAGCCCCATTTGGTAACTCCTCCTCACGAGCAGATGAATGTCCTGAATATCCAGCTCTCAGCAGAGAGAAGATCTAGAGTGGGTGGCTTTTTTCCCTGCAGGCAGGGTGTTGATTTGTGATCGTCACTTAGCAGACCAAAGACCATAGAATGGGTAGCATCTCCATCCAGCTGATCATCTTATTAGGTATATAGGTATATAGAATGGAGAGAAGACCCTGGAGTGGGTAGTTTCTCTTCACATCTGATGGTCCCAATATCTGCTATATCTTCAGCAGAGAGGACACCCTAGAGTGGGTAGTTCCTCTCACCAGCTGGCCATCCTGTCATCTCCCCAGCTCTCAGCAGAGCCTTTCCCAAAAGAGATCCAGCGCAACATGATAGTCCTGACATCTTGTCGGGTTTTAGCAGAAAGAAGGATTTTGAGTGAGTAACTGTTCTCCACAGCTGATAATCTAAAAAGTCTTCGAGTCTGGCTGACTACAACAAATGTATGGGCTTCAAAGAAAAAAGAAAGTGCTTGCTAATTACATTATTCAGCATAAATGGGTGAAATGAAAAAAAAACAACACTATTAATTTTCATTCTTGTACATCAGTCTGGCACCCGGAATTCTGTCTGTCACTGGCTTGTAGGTGAAGCAACAATGGAAACGTTCAGATTTATGACCAGGAGCCTGCGTTGGTTGTATTGAGAGATACAGATTATTAATTCTGGATTTGTCTGTGTGGGTGTTGCCCAAAAGAGATTAACATTTCAGTCAGTGTGCTACAGATGGCAGATCCACTTTTAATCTGGGTAAACATAATCTATTCAAATCTCTATGAATTTAAAATAGGCAGAAAAACACGAAAAAAAAGTGAGATGGGGTTAGCCTCTTAGCCTGTTTTTCTCCTGTGACAGATACTCTCTATCCTCACATGTAGAACTCAAAGTTGTTCAGTTTTGAAACTTGCACTGATTCTTTTTTCTGCTCTGTTTGCAGACAGCCTATTGTGGAATATCGATATGTTGTAAGTTAAGTCTTAATAAACTCACCTCTCTATATAAATATATATATTTTTCCCTCTGAGAGAACCCTGAGGAATACACAAGTTTGTACCAG